AATAGTCCTAAAAGCCTACTGATGAAGAGTGTTCTTGTGAGCAACAAATATAACAGCAAGTTCCCAAATCTCTCTACAGTTGACAGATGTCTTTGTGACCCTCTGAAACTAATAGCACATTTTCTCCCCCAATCAGATTTTCTGCCTATGGAACAGAAATAGTGAAAACCTCCTTCCTACCCAACTACAAGTTTTAAGAACTTCATTTGAAACAAATAAATGTAAAACTTCTCAGGAATCCCTGAAGCAAAGCATATTGATTCTTTTTCTGTATGGGGATATTAATTAAAATTAGATAGACAATTATTTTCCTCACTCTTAGAGAATACTGTAACTCTTTCAGATTAGAAAACAAATAACAATTTTCAGCATTTTAAAAATAAGCAGTTTGCAACATCTACCCTCCATTTTTTGTTAACATCACAGAATTGGCTCAGCCCATTATTAATGAATAAGGGTACACGTTTTCATTTTATTATATTGTATTTTACTTGCAAATTCCACAATGGCAGTTTTGAGTATTTAATTATCTGTTTCATTGATTATTGTTAATATTTTTATACTATATCTTACTTCATTAGGAAACTTTGCCATCATCTGAAGTATCTTGCCAAAAAGCATCATGTATTTATCAAACGATGGTCCTTTCCACTGTATTTCAATTTAAGTTTATTTGAAAAGTGTTACACTGATAGGTTTTCAAATATATTGAAGAAAAATTGGTTAGTCAAAAGCAAAATAGAAAGAACAGTCTGGAAGATGACGCAGTTTCATCAAGTATCTCAGAAAAGTCACTTTATCAGTGGAGCCTTTCCTGTTTTAAAACTTCATTACAAACTACACCAAAGAACTAATTCCGCTAATAAAAAACTGGAGCCAAGCAAATTATCTTGAGATAAGAATGTCTATGAGAGAGACTCACAAGTATCTGGTGAAAACTTTAAGAGCAGCATGTTATTCAAGGAATCTGCTTAATTACTGCCATCTTATTCCTGTGGCATCTTTAGTCCAAATATTCTACACACAAGTGTGCGGGGCAGAAGAAAAATCATGTTTTTACATCAGAGAAGAACTTGCAGGCCTTTTCTATAAACTCTACCTTTACATAAGTGTTAAGTAAGGTTAAGATATTGAGCTGAATACCAGACTTTTAGCAGTTGACAATAGAAAGCCCTTCACCAATAGGGATTGAGAAAGAGAAACAACCAGTAATGCCTTCATAACTGGAAAGGGGCAGAGAAACCAAAACGGTAACTGTGTATAAAATAGTACATTTGTATATCTCTAAGACTTTATCTTTTAAAGAGCATGGGCATATTAACTGAAACCATTTTACAGTGTTAAGTTGTAATATCATAAAAGCTCTTTTTGTAGCATTTTTTCACTTTGTTATAAACTTTTAGAATTGAACTGTAATACAGATAGGTAAGATACTAAATATCGGTCAAGACCCATCTAGTGTACGGCTCTTCTCCAATCAATTTTGATAGCACAGAAGCACAAAGACGCTCGGTTTAGAAAGTCCACATGCGTTTAATCTCTGATTAATCAAACAAAAAGTAAGCGCCTCCAGACGTATTTCTTTTAATCACGGGAAAGATATCTTTTCAGTGGCTTTGCTTGCAAGAGCAAGTCAGCAGATGTCTGTCTGGTCTGAAGGGAATTTCTCCTTCTCAGGAGAAAACAGTTTAAATAGAAGAGGAACAGCCATATGCTGACTATGCACTGCTTAACAGATGACGTAAAGAAGCCTCCGCTACCACAGGGAGTAGAACAGGGCAGTTTTCAAATTAAATTTCTTTCAAATTCAAAGCAATCAGCTGAAATCAATTTACACACAGGATCCAAGTCAGACAGTTCTCATCAAAACAGTTTGTAGACACAACAATGAAAATCCATCTCTGTCAGCAGTATGATGTTTAAGAAAGGCTTGACTGTGCTGACAGTAAAAAATTGTCTCTTCACAGTTTTAAATACAGCTGTTATCTTTCTTTTCTGGTGGATGATGATTCAAAATAATATGAAATCTCATCCATATGAAGTATTTGGAAAAAGTTCTATGTTCATGCACTAAAATGTACTGGCATAACACACATTCATCTCCCAGTTTAGCTCAGGAGTAGGTGTTTCAGTACTTCAGAAAAATACGTTTTACAGCGTAGGACTGGAAAAAAGGCAATCGAATGACCAATGCAGTACTATTATGAGACAACACTCTGACTTCACACTTTGTCTATACTATCACCTAGGAAATGTATACACTAATAGCAAGAAGAATGATCACCTTTGCTTCATTTAGTTACCTCAGTGTGCCACTGGGAATAAAAAGTTTAGTTTAAAGCAGAAGCTGGAGAAGATACTAGACATCTATTAATTGAAAAGTGCATTTAAAAACTACCTCTCTAATTCATCCTCTATATAATAAGGATGCCTCCCTTAATTAATGCTTCTAATTGCTATTAATAGTCATCCACAACCTTCTAAACAGCAACAGTTAACTATATGGGCTTCCAATCATCTGCACAAAACCACCAAAACTGTAAAGCATTAACCTTATATAAGCATACTACATAACCTCCAGATCTTTAAAAGTTACTTAGATATCCCCAATGTCTTTAAGATAACACACGTACTATTTTTGTTAATTTACAGACTTCTACATAACTTCAGAAAGAAATTCTGAACCATACAAAAGAAGTATGCCACAGTTTGGATGCATGTTTAAGTCATGGCATCTTCAGCCGAGCTTTGAGTTGTTTTCTACAGATTTTTGTGTTTTTTAAAAATCTGTACCTCCTTCATTGCTTAAGGCAAAAGTTAATCAGCAAAGTGTGAATATCCAATTCCTCTCCCTGCAAAGCACATCCCTTATTTCATTCTCTCCTGCAACCAGACACCATCTCCAGATCAAATCTTTTGTTTACACATAAAGCACTTCATCCTGTAGAGAGGACTGCAACTTAGATGGCTTTGAGAACACCTCTGATTTTGTGGGACTGCTTCCTAAATTTCTGAAGTATCAAATAGAAACACAGGAACCAAATAAAAGAAATGAGGGGTTGTTCATCTCTGTTTTATGTGATCAGCAAAATGTACTTTGTGTCTTTTTCTACTGGACCTACAGAGCAGTTTCTAGGAGAATGGTGACACTGCCTGTGCACACAGCTACTCCCTTACAGAAGCTGTGCAATTGAAATAAAAGAGCATTTGCAAGAAATTGTGACAGAATGGGAAGAGATTGCTGTTTTCTTCTCTTAAAGGTGATGATTTCCACTCCCATCTGGAGAAACTGAGGGACACCAAGAAGTCCAAAAGGGAGAGATTCAGGGGACCAAACAGGGAAGGGAAAGCAAGGTCTGGACAAGTAGTGATCCTTTCCAGGTACAGTTTTATTTGCTCCCTGACTCAAGTGAAAATACCCATGGCTCTGTACAGGACCAGCAACAAGGGCAGGTCAGCAACGCCTGCTCTGGCTGCTGCACCAGATGGGCCCATAAGCACTGCACAGTGATGTCACTGTGATGACACTTGTGCATCATGGTGATGCTTGAGCCTCTCCCCCAGAACCCCTCAACAGTTCTGTGGGATTTCACTGGCAGGGCAAAGGGCAGCTCCCTGCAGAACTGGCTGTGAGCAAAAACCACAGTCAGACTGAGACAGTAGACATTGAAAGGGAACTGTCTGCAGTGGGAACTTCTGGTTCTGATCCAGAGGGTCTGGCTGCATCCCCAGGCCCTCCTTCTGGTCATCCAGATAAGGATAAAGGAACTGTGTGGGGATCAAAAATAGGTGAAAAGGATGCACTAACTCATCCTGATGAGGAGGAAATCAAATGTATAGCTCATGCTTCTTATGAGGAGAGCACATGCAGAGACACTATTATCTCTGATAGCTGAGTCACTTTTCTCATCAATCCTGTGCTATGGAAGAGTTTGTTTTTGGAAAAAAAAAGTTGTAGAATAGTATACAAGCAAACTGGGACTCTCCTGGGATCTAATGGTGAAAAGTATTTAAAGTATTATCCAGAGTAAATGGAAAACAAACATCAACAAACTTATATATGCTACAGCTTGCTGACTATAAAACATGCTGCTTTCGAGGTTAGAGGTAACATACACGTGTACTTATTTTACAAATACTTTTGCAAATGCACTACTTGTGAGAAACAAATCCATATATCAGTGGAAAATGGAAGTGTTACAATAGAACTTTCCCTAGAATGCTTACCTCAGAAACCACTGATGAGCAAACAAAGCCAACTTCATTTGCACTTGATTTTTCAAAGAATCCTCAAAAACTCGACAGTGGAGAAATAATGATTAAAACAACCCTGCGGCTACTGTTACCATATTTGATATGGTTAAGTTTCTACATAATGCTCACTAACATAAAAGATAGCCATAAAATCCAGAGATACCATTTTCCTGGAAGAGAGATATCTGGATATAAGTATGAAAAGAAAATTTAAATACTGCGACAAGCTAGAAAATGTTGATAAATGAATTTGATCTTGATCAGATGGATCCATCCACCAGACAATCTTGACAGATTCAAGCATAAGAAGCAGCTGCAGACACCTTCCCATTTGCTGATGCATAACTTTCCACTTTTTCAAAACCACTTTTGCTTATCTGTGAAAAACGACACCTGTTTCCCAACTGCTTACATCACAGCCAAAGCCACCTCAAGCACTTACTTTGAGAAACAAGAATAGTTGCATTTTGTGTTCCCACCTGTAAAAGTTGACATTTACAGAGAGAATTACTCAGTTTCATTTTGACAGAAACATGCCCTTTATCAAATTCTTTAGGACCTTTCAGCACTGGAGAAGGTGTCAGTGGTAGGTAGTAATCTGAAACCAGTTAACATTCCTCAAAAACAAAACATGCAGCTAATTTAAGTAAGTCTCCAGAGATCAAAAGGCTGAGTTCAGGAAGTCAAGAACAGGGTGGCAAATGGACTCATAGCAGAGTAAATCTGTAAAGGATGACTACAGGCTGTTATCTGATTATCCCATCATGCTCTCTTTTTGGGCTACCATACTGATACTGCATATTAACATACACAGCTTCAATGTCAGAAATTTTGTAGGAGTAACATTGTGAATGAAGATGAAAACTGTTAACTATCAAAAGAAAAATCCCCAAACTAAATAGAAGTTACATCTCTTGACCTGTAATTCAGCTTCTGAGTTCCTGTTTACTCAAATTTAGATTCTTTCCACTTAGGAGGAACTTAAAGATCTAAATTACACAGAAAATGTAATTTAATATCAATTTACAAAGCTATTTTTCACATGCTGTTTAACTTAAAATAGCTTTACTAGTCAACAGAGTGTATGATTTTAACTCTTGAAATATCATGTGGCTACCTATTTGGTTAGGGAAAATTATATAAGTTACAGTCCCTGTAATATAATGAAAAACAGTGTAGTCCAGAGGGTTCAAGCACTGGTTGGCTAGATTTAAGAAAGAAAGATAGCACTGTATCAGCCAGAGGATCATGTTGGTTTAAAGGCCTCTTTAGAAGTTTGTGGTACAGAGATTGCTTCATGGAAACATCCACAATAAAGCTGGAAAAATGATACAATAGTAAACAAGAGCACCAAGCGTTATTGAGAGGATATAACAAATCCACAATGCCATGAGTAGATACACATGGTCTTCAAGCATTTTACAGGGGCCACAGGAGGCACAGATTGAATTAAGTAAGCCTTACTCAATTTGCTGATATTATAAATGTTATTTAGGTCCTGTTCAGTATTATTCATTAATGGCTACATTATCAGCAGAAGAAAAAGCTGCAAGCTTTGGATGAAATGACTTGCACACCTCAGTCAGTCACCAATGGAAAAAGTAACAAAAAGAAAAGGACAAAGCAGAGGAAAAACACTCTTCTCTATACCATGATTTACTGGTGTTTGCAGTCTCTCCTCCATTGCAGCTATCACATCTAAAGCTTTTTGTTTTTGTTGTTGTTGCTGGCTTGTTTTAAAGTTCTTAATATACACATATGCTTAACTAGATAAAAATGTTTTTAATACTTCATACTGTTTGAAATTTTTTGTATGAGTTCCCTCTACATTTCATTCCTTTTACCTACAGAATCTATGCACTATGCACGTACTTACAGAATATCTTCAGCTTGTAACACAGTCCACAGAGAAAATTCATTACTCATCTGAAAGATGAGCATTAGAACTGCTTCTAAAGTAAGCTGAATGAAGAGATAATGGCTATGAAAAATTGCAGTGTTATTCTAAATTCTGAAGTTAAATCCACATATTCACAGAACAGTGAAGGAACATCATCTAATTGAATGTGTTACTCTAAGAGGTGATAGAAGCAAGTGGTGTGCTATAAATTCCCTACCACATTATAAAATGTTAGGTGGTGTGGGCAGGAGTTGCTTCTTCCAGTGACAGCAAGCAGTTACAGCACAAAACTTCTATTTCCTACATTTCACAAAAGCTTTTTGGTTAAACTTCAAGCACCAGAAGTAACTGTACAAGTAATCCAAATGACCTTCTGTACCTTGTAAATGGAAATGCAATTTTCATCTGCAAACATACAGAAATTAAATTATAATCTAAATATTTCAAAACTGCAAATGTATGCATATACTATTACATGCACAGAATTGTAAATGCTGTTATGCTCAAAACCGGTGCCCTCTTAAACCTTCTTCTCCTAACTGTACTTTAAATGAAGACCTTGTAAGAAAGACTGTAACTGTAACCAGTCAGCATTTACAAACTCATCAAGCAACTACCGAACAGTTGGGTTGACATAGGCAATAGTGTATCAGCTAAGTGTATCTCATGAAAGATGAAGAAACAATCACATGCATTTCAAACATTACTTCAAGAGACACCACCAAGAACTTACTGCATGGACAGAACACTTTTTAAAGATTCTACATGCAGTGCTACAAAGAAACAGCATTCAGATAACATCAGAATCACTTAAACATGGACGCCCGTAAAAGAACAACACCTACAAGACACCGAATATTGCATTTGTGAGTAACCGATCAACTGTGTTTAAATAGGTTATACATTTGCTGGATAAACATACTTCCAATTAGCCAACCACCAATTAATTTTATCACTAGAAGTGGTAACAAGGAAACAACATGGTCATAGATCCTAATCATGTACATTTAATGTTCTACATGCAATGCTTGAGATCCTTTTGATACAAGCACTATGAAAGTGCTCTGCAAACGCCAACAAGGATCGGTAAAGGGCTCAAATAAATGCACTTAACAATTATTTACTCTGCCTTCAGTAGGAGCTATGAAAATCCAGCCATTCTGAGAAATCTTTTTTTCTAAAATCAGAAACCAAGACCAGCATCAACTTAACTTGCCCACAGTTGAAGGACAGCTCTGTCCAGCCTCCTAACGTAAGCCATTTAGTCAACAGAGAGGTCAGTATTTTCAAAGAGAGATTCACCCAGTTCAGAGCTGTCTCTTCAACTCAGCACCAGAAGAATTGCAATAGATTACAGAGTAAACTTACAGAAGCGACTGAAGAGAGATAAGTAACTTTTGGATTAGAAGGCTTTCTTTCGTACTTAAATACCTCAAACCGACATTTTTTTTTTTGACCTACACATAGCCCTCCACAAGGCCTGCTTAAAATCCTTTCATGTACACTTCTCTTCCTCTAAAATGAGGATAGAGTGTACAGGAAGAGATAAGCATTACAAAGGGATATGAACACACTTGACTGTTCCTTCCTTTGGTCAAATACTTAAAAGAGATAATTTGTAGGCCACTTCTTTTAGAGCAGAAAAGGTTATTTTGTGTTTCTAAATACAGATTTTTTTTTTTCCTAGCACTTGCTTGTAAAGCAACAGTTCCAAATGCACCCTATTAAATGAAATCCAAGCTATCTTACCTCCTAACAAATAATATTTATATATTATATATTTATAGTATGCTTTTCATGCATATTTAGGGAGGAAAAAAAACACATATGTAAGTTGAAACTAATTACACAAAATTCAATAAACATCAAATAACCATAAGTCCGTGGAAGCACAACAGAAATACCAAAATTCATAGTGATGTGACTATCCATTTTCTTAACTCCATGTTAATAGCCATATAACAAAAAATAAATAAATAAATAAATAAATAAATAAATGACCTGTACATTTAGTTAAGTCACTGACTCGGAGTTAGACCACATCTACGCTACTTTTTCTTTTTCCAAATCTTCAAATCACATTGCAACAAGGGGCTCTTACTGGAAAGTGAAAGAAAGAATCGTACTTACTTGCCACCTCCAGCGAAGCATTGTGACTTACAGCTTCCCCAAGGTAATTCCTTGCCACGCAGACATAGACCCCTTCATCTGGCCTACTCTTGCGCCCATGAACTATGCGTAAAAAAAATAAAGATCCGCTGGGCAGCAGCATCCGATGAGAACGAGGATCATCCTTGTCAGTTTCCACTCTTTCTCCACCTTTATACCACTCAATGGTTGGTGTCGGCCTTCCTTCAGCTTTACAGTTTAAAGTTGCTGGTTCTCCCTTTGAAACAATTAAATCAGATGGGTGTTCAACGATGCGAGGTGGGAAATCTTCTTGCCGAAGACGGGAGCCTACAACATAAGAACGTGCAGATATCTTTTTAGATCTTTGCCATGCAGTCACAAGTGTTTTGCCCATATAACCGCGTAACAAATACCTCGTAGTTTAGGATTTAGTAAGAACACCAATTAAGATACTTTTAAAGTAGAAAAAAAGTCCCTTATTTTATTCCAATGTGTGCAAAGTTCTCTTCCTAAATTAATAAACTAGAAATATTTTTTCAAAAGGTGACCTATATTAGGGAACTAAACATGCCATGCTGCTAAATCCTATACATGAATATACCAATACTGAAATGGATGCAAATTTATACATATATGCATATGAATGCATCTAATTATGACAATTAATTCTACAGATAGTCTAAAGTCATCAGGCTTTCAGAAAGATGCACTAATTTAAAGCACAAAGTTGTGACCAATCTCATTCAACTATCCATAAAGTCTACCCGTTCATAGGAGTAAGCCTAATACCTCCAGTCATTCTGGCATTCTGCTTGTACTATCAGTTCTTCTTAGTGACTTCTTAAACAGTACCACAGACATAAAAACACACAGAACATCCAGGTAAATAGTTGTGTCAGGGAAAACTAGAGCTACTTCTTATATTTTACATTTTAACTGTCTGATTACCCATTGTTCAACGTGCAATTCCAAGGAAAAATGGGACACAAGTATTGGGAAAATGAGGTACTCTTCTAGAAAGGCATTCAAACTTGAACAAATTCAGACTGTGAGCTCACAGTAGCACGGAAGTATACGATACCCTGGATAGAAAAATGCTGCACAAGAATATGACAACAAGCTGGCTCTCCAGGAACTCAAAGCTAGGGATAGGCACCTATCTGAACTTTCATAGGTTTAAATTATTGCTTCTATTTCAAATTGGTATTTTGCTCCTTATTTCTCTCTTTGTATATCATTTCACAAGGGTCAAAATTTGTCTCTTAGATCAGTATTCCTGATTATTAAAATTATAGATGCCAAAATTCTTCATTAGCATTAATAGTGCACGTTTGAAAAGCTATGAAGAACCAGAAAGAAAGACATAAGAGATCTATTCAGTGCAGGTCAGAAAAACTCAAGTTAGTTCTGAAAGGGGGAAAGACAACGAGAAAATCCCCAAGAGAGTTCTGTTTTCTATATAATACATAGCATAAATATAACATAGTACGTAAAATTGTATATACATAGGTTGCTCTGAAAGTAATGCCTCCTATTTATCTCCACTGAAACTACAACACATAGAAAAGGCACAATAACACTAGATAGTAGAGTAAATTCTCAGATACAAAACACTTTTTCAACAGTCACCACCACTAGCTTTGCATTTCCACTAGCAATGAACAAGAGCCTGCGTATTGCACGCATAAAAATCACTAGCAGAGGTGAACCACTGTCACTAGCACCACTGTGTGTATGTGTTATATATGTAAAACATAAATGGGAGAATTTGTGAAATATATAACTTTACATGAAACCTTATTTCACATAATTTTGCCACAAGATTAGCAATGCACATTAAATGTTACATTAATACTGGAACCAACCACACCATCCCAAAATCTATGGCTTGACTGCTCTAAAATATGCTTGCATTCCTCTCTACACAGCAAAACTTTATTTAGATTATAATTTTACTTCTAAATTATGCACCTCATAAGGAAGGAGGCAGGAAAAAAAAAGGAATAGAAATTCAAAACCAAAATGTAGTAAAATGCTTAAAGATGCTTAAGAATGGTTTCAAAAGCCCAAGTCTGCATATGTGATAGTACATATCTCAGGTCTGTATTTGTACAGATAGTCAATCAGCAGACAACACAGTACAAGCCTTCTATTGTTCCTGTCAGCCAGGCCCAGACTGCAAATAAATGACATACTATTCTCATATATTGTATGCACACTTCCCATGCTAACATTCAAGTCACCAAACACTAACTGAAAGTATTGCACAGAAGGCACGCTTAAAGACTAACCTCTAAACTTGCTTGAAAATTGAGACTTGGGACTCATGAGTGGGAAAGAGTGCTAATACAAGCTGCAGTTCTCAGGAAACTCCAGGATCACTCAGACATTTGTGATATTTCATACCAGATAGTATTAGAGAAGTCAAAATAACAGAAACGCTCCTTTTTTATTTACTTTAAATTGTCATTTTAAAGGAACCCTTCTGGAGAAAATTAAAAGAATTGCTTGAAGCAAAAAGGGACAAAAAGTTGTATGAGTAGTTGACTGGCACATAGAGAATGTTAACCACAAATTTAGCGGCAAATGCTACAACCAAGTTATAATCTTTCCACATGTCTATAGATTTATTTTTTTTTTTTAATATTTCTTTATTTCCTTTCAGCCTATTTAAGATGCATTTATGCTTTACTGAGAAAAAGCAGCTTCTATTATCAGTCATACAGTGGGCACTAATCCTGTAATTTTCCTGTCAAAAATCCATCCCAAAGGGATATTTAGTTTAAAATAAGTAATAATCAAAACAGAAGACCTATTACACGCTGAATCTGCCATTATACATGCAACTGCCCTAAAAGATGACAGCACTGTGCCACGGGATCTAACCAACTTGGTCTCTCTGCTTCCTGTCTTATTCAAGTCTTTCACAAAAAGTCAACAGGATGCCACCAACTAAAGTATGCAACACTAATTATTTCATGATGCTACTTAAAAGAACAATTATAAGAAATCATATTTCCAGTTTCTTTGACTGTGCCACAACTATTTTTACAAGAATTCAAACACTGAAATATGTAGGCATGAAGGTTCAAAGAAAGCTAGCATTAGATGAATGCTAAAATTTGTAAAGGCAAGAATAGTGCTTCTCCTTGCCTTAAAACTTACTTGTACAATATAAAAAACATTGAAAAATAGCAGGGAATATGTATTCAAATAAGAAAGCTGCTGACTGGGAGAATAAATGTTCTGCTAGTCTGCTATGAGGGAGGGAAGAAGAAGGCCCCATTCACTTTCCGTTTCACAGCTACAACATTTAATGCCAACTTTAAGAGCATCTGATCTCCATTCCATTCTTTTATTGAAATGCTTTGTATTGCAACATAAAACCGAGTTACAAATTATACTAATGAAATACTAATAAACAAAGCTAGAGCTTTAAAATCAATGTTAGCTAATTCTTGCAAATAACTATGCTTCATAAGGATATGAGTGAACTCGATTTATCAGCACCTCCACTCCATGTAACATAATTTCTTTCAGAAACTTTTCAGAAATTGATGGTATTTCTGTGGTTTTGTATATACTGATTATGAAGATGTTCTGCAGGTGCTCTAGTAATCAGAAATCTTTCTCTACTTCTCAGGTTAAATATACCCACAGGCAGCGCATATGTAATTCTTCCATAAATTCTGACATTCGCATTGCCAAACCATAACAGTTAAGAAGTAGAGACTCAAAATGTTTCAAGAGCAAGCTACAAAGCAGTGAGATCCTATGTCTCAGGGGACAAATAACTAAAGAAGAATCAAAGTATTTTTCTTGAAGAGGCTCTTCTACAAAGACATGCAACAAACCTTTGAGACCTTTATTACTCTTTGCAACTACCAGAAAAGAGACTGCAGGAAGGTGGGGGTCAGTCTCAGTTCCCAGGTAATAAGTAATAGGATGAGAAGTAATGACTTGAAATTGCACCAAGAGAAGTTCAGGTAGGATATTAGGAAACATTTCTTCTCAGAAAAAAATAGTGAATCATTGGAACAGGTTGCCCAGAGAAATGTGGAGTAACCATTCTTGGAAGCGTTCAAGAACTGTGTGCATATGGTACTTAGGGACATGGTTTATTGGGTATGATGGTAATGGGCTGGTGGCTGGACTAGATTGTCTTAGTGGTCCCTTCCAACCTTAGTGATTTTATGAAATCTAACCTATTGAGCTTATTTGTTCTCATAGACAGTAGATCAATCTCAAGGAAAGAGAAAGAGGACAAAAAGCCCACTGAGATATTCACTTGCTTTCTCTCTTACTTCCATGACTGAAGAACTCCATTTGTCCCTCCTATTTTTAGAATACTTTTACTCTTTATATACCATCCTCGTCCCGTCTAAATACATCTTCCCAAACTTGGCAGCTTGCAATAGTACATTTCAAAAGCAAGTATTCTCAAATTTCCTTTACAGATGTTGCAATCTTCCACTCATAATCAAAGGCATGGAGTAATTAATGAATTGTGCCTATACCTTCAGATTTTACCAAAATATTCAGCTAAGCAAAGAAATTCCACTTTTGAATTCTACCTTGGCATAAAGCAGAAGAGACAAAACTGCACAGAAATGATATTTCTAACACACTCCAATATGAGAATAGAGTTGTATCACTCTGGACTCACAGAGTAGCTCTCTGCACAGTTAGGAAGAGTTTTATTTACAACAGCTGTTGATCTTTAACATGTGGGTACCAAACTTCTGGTTTGGGGAAAAAAATGCAACTTATGCCTCATATCTAAATCCTACTATGACATGGCACAGTCATGGCTCTGCACATTTTCAAAAATGCTTTAGAATGATGCCACCTTTATGAACAAAAGATTAGAGATTGAGGTGTTACATTGCTACAAATGAGCTAATATTTGTATTCTAAAGAGAAAAATGAATGGCTGGAACGTAACAGTATTGTTGCAACAGTCAATCAATGCCCATCCAGGTCTACAAGTATATTGCAATGCACTTTAAGGTGTGTTTAATGCTTCCAAATATTGAGCTGGGAACAGGTCCAGATCTCTCCAATATCCGAGATACCATAAAAAGTGATAAGCAAGATTCTCAGTTTGGATCAGCAGAAGTTGAAATTTTCCAATTTGTTCCCTTTGAAGAGAAACACCATCTCCTTTTCCTAAGTCGACAATGGAAAACAGAAGAGCAAGAAAAGCAGCAAACACTATCACCCCTGCTATGAAATTACTGTGATGTTCCCCAAAAAGAGAGTTTGCTCCCAGTGCTTTCTTCGTTCTGTTTGTTTGTTCATCCTCTTTTTCCAGCTTACACCACTAC